AGATTGGGTTTCACCATGTTGGCCAGGCTGGTCTCAAACTTCTGACCTCAAGTGATCCGCCTGCCTCGGCCTCTCAAAGTGTTGGGAGTACGGGCGTGAGTCATTGTGCCCTGCCTAACTTTTTATCCTATTAATAGATTGTCTTACATGGGGTGAGAGTAATAGCTTTCCAAATATTAAAAAATTTAATTTCCAAATATTAAATCATTTTTAGAATACACTCTACTTCCTCATGGGGTGTTATTATTTTTATGCTCTGGTGAATTTGTTAGCTGACACAGTTTTTAGGATTTTTGCACCAATATTTATAAATGTGACTCATTTGCAAGTTTTTTTTTTGGCCTTTTTTGACAGGTTTTAGTATCAATGCTATTACAAAAAGAATTTTGAAGATTTCCCTCTATTTCTATCTTCTAGAAGAGTTAAAATGTGTTTCTTCCTTAAATGTTTGGTGAAGTTATCCTGCAGAACTAGCAGGACCTAGTGATTTTTGAGGGAGCACTTGACAGCTCTACTCTAGTAACATTGATCTATTAATATTTTATCTTTCTTTTGAGGTAGTTTTGGTAATTATTAAAAATAATAAAGTGGGTTTCTGACCTAATGAAGGCCTCTGACCTCAGTCATGGCACCAAGATGACAACACACCAGTAATCATACAGTATGTACTTCTTTTGTGTTTGCCTTCTTGCATTCAATCTATCTATCATCTATCTATCTATCTATCTATCTATCTATCTATCTATCTTCTATCTATCTATCTATCTATCTATCTATCTATCTATCTATCTATCATCTATCTATCATCTATCTATCTATCTATCTATCTATCTATCTATCTATCTATCTATCTAATTTTTGAGATGGAGTCTTGTTCTGTTGCCCAGACTGGAGTGCAGTGGTGTGATCTTGGCTCACTGCAACCTCTGCCTCCCAGGTTCAAATGATTCTTGTGTCTCAGCTTCCCGAGTAGCTGGAATTAAAGGTGCCTACCACCACACCTGGCTAATTTTTTTTTTTTTTTAAGTAGAAATGGGGTTTCACCATGTTGGCCAGGCCAGGCTCGTCTTGAACTTCTGACCTCAAGTGATCTGCCTGACTCGGTCTCCCAAAGTGCTGGGATTACAGGTGTGAGCCACTGTGCCTGGCCCAATCTATTTTGACGTTCATCCGTGTTGTTGCATGGTAGGGATAGTCTTTGAGTTGTAGTTTGTTTGTTTTTATTGGTGAGTAAATATACCATTGTATGGATATACCACCAGTGAATGGATATTTATCCATTTACTTGTTGATGGACACTTGAATGGGATTAATGCCCTTATAAGATAACTTGAAGGGAGCACCCTAACCCCTTTGGCCCCTTATGCCACATGAGGACACCGTGTTCATCCCTTTATGCCCATCTTTCTCTTCCACCATGTGAGGATACTTATCCAATGCCATCATCAGAGAGGAACAGGCCCTCACCAGACACTGAACCGGCTGGCCCCTTGATCTTGGACTTTCCTGCCTCTAGAACTGTAAGCAATAAATTTGTATTACTTATAAATTACTGTGGTATTTTGTTATAGCAGCAGGAACTGACTATGACAGGTTTTAATTTGCATTTCCCTGATGACAGATGATGTTGGATGAGTGCTTTCTCATATGCTTATTGGTTATTTGTATATCTTCTTTTATGAAGTGAGTGTTCATATCTTTTGCCTGTTTTTTTGATTGGGTTGTTTGTCTTTTTATTGAATTACAGGAGTTCTTTATTCTGGATACAATTTCTTTGTCAGATATATTTCTTCCTAGTCTCCCAGTCTGTGGCTTGCTTCCCTTCCCTTGCCTTCCCTCCCCTCCCCTCCCCTCCCTTCCCTTCCCTTCTTTCTTTTCTCTTTTCTTTTCTTTTCTTTTCTTTTCTTTTCTTTTCTTTTTGAGACAGGGTCTTACTCTGCCGCCCAGCCTGGAGTGCAGTGGCACAATCATGGCTCACTATAACCTCTGCTTCCCAGGCTCAAGTGATCCTCCTGCCTCAGTCTCCTGAGCAGCTGGGACTACTGGCACAAGCCAACACACCTTGTTAGTTTTTGTAATTTTAGTAGATACCGGCCGGGTTTTGCTGTGTTGCCCATGCTGGTCTAGAACTCCTGGGCTCAAGCCATTTACCCGCCTTGAACTCTTAAAGTGCTTGAAGGGATTACAGGTGTGGGCCGCTGCACCTGGTCCCTGGCCCTATTTTCTTAATAGCTTTTTTTTTTTTTTTTTTTTTTTGAGACGTAGTCTCACCCTGTTGCCCAGGCTGGAGTGCAGTGGTGTGATCTCCACTCCCTGCAACATCTGCCACCATGCCCAACTAATTTTTTGTATTTTTAGTAGAGAAGGAGTTTAACCATGTTAGCCAGAATGGTCTCCATCATCTCCTGACCTCGTGATCTGCCCGCCTGGGCCTCCCAAAGTGCTGGGATTACAGGCGTGAGCCACAGCACCCAGTCTTTTTTTTTTTTTTTTTTTGAGATGGAGTCTCACTCTGCCACCCAGGCTGGAGTGCAGTGGCCTGATCTTGGCTCACTGCAACCTCCAGGGTTCAAGCAATTCTCCTGCCTCAGCCTCCTGAGTAGTTGGAACTACAGGCGTGTGCCACCATGCCTGGCTAATTTTTTGTATTTTTAGTGGAGATGGGGTTTCACTGTGTTAGCCAGGATGGTCTCAATTTCCTGACCTCAGGTGATCCACCCGCCTCAGCCTCCCAAAGTGCTGGGATTACAGACATGAGCCACTGCGCCAGGCCAATAGTGTTTTTTGATGAGCAGGAGTTTTAAATTTTGATGAGGTCCATTTATCAATTGTTTTCAGGGTCCATGATTTTTTTTTTTCTTTTTTAAGAGATGGTGTCTCTTTATCACCCAAGCTGAAGTGCAGTGGACCAATCATAGTTCACTGCAGCGTTGAACTCCTGGGCTCAAGCAATTCTCCTGCCTCAGCCTCCTGAGTATGTGGGATACAGGCTGATGCCACCATGCCTGGCTTTCTTGCATCCTTTCTAGGAAATCTTTGCATACCCCAAGATTTAAAAGATACCCTCCTGTTTTCTTCTAGTAGCTTTATCAATTTGCTTTATATTTAGGCAAATGCTCTCTCTTAAATTGTGTTTTGAATATGGTGTGAGGTAGGGATTGGGTCCCTTCAGGCACATAAATATCTACTTGTTCCAACACCACTTCCTGGTGTTCTTGTCCAAAATCATTTGACCCCATATCAGATGGTTCTTGTTATCTTTCCAACACTAAGCATTGCAGCTAAAAATGTGTCTCATGCAGTCTGTCTCCACTCAAAAAGTGTGGTCTGCAGACCAGCAGCATCACATCACCTGGGAGCTTGTTAGAAATTCAGAATCTGGCACCACCCCGGCATTACACAACCCCCTAGTGAGTCTCAGGCAAGTTACATTTTGAGCGGCAATAATGTGGATATTTTTTGAGGAATGAGGATAATTTTTGAGGAATGAGGGGAAACGTCATCATGACATTTGCTGCCTCTCGCAGCCTCCCCATGCACTACAGCCTGTGGGGCCTGCCAAACCATTTTCCCTGGTTCCTGGGAAGGATTTACTTCCAGACTTAACCTCTGGGTCCACCTCTCCTGACATGTGCTGTGCTGTTCTTTGCTGCTGGGATTGAGGGAAGGGGGCCCACTCACTCACCCACTCCTCACTTTCTAATACCCACAACCACCTGTTCACTCGCCCAGCAGTTCCTATGCTCTCCCCTATACACATTCTTCCACCTGGAACCTCAGTTTCCTCAATTGCAGAACCAAAATAATAATGGTCTTGCTATCAGGAACTACTGTGAAGGGAAGTGATCTGAGGAGTACCTGGGCGTAGAGACAGCACAATGGAAGTCAGTTATCGTCATGGCCATTTCAGAGCTCTTTTTCCAGTAAAGCCCTTGGATGCTGGTCGCCTCTGCTATGTAGCCTCACCCCCCTGCAGCCGGGCAGAATGGAGTCCCCCTTCTCTCCAGCCTGACTTCTCCTCCCCTGCTCCACGCCCCCAGGGCAGCGTGCACTGATAAATCTTTCCCAGCGCGTTGCATTGTTACAGCGAGTTGCCCTCGCAGCCGACCGGCCCCCAGCCCCAGCTCGGGAGATCTTCAAACCCAGAATCTCTGCCTTGGTCGTCTTTGAAGCCCCGGCCCCTGGCACAGCGCCTGGCACCTGGAGGGTGCTCAATAAATGTTTGCAAAATCGAATTCTCTGTTGAGCAGGTGTCCACCCCTCCACTCGCGGAGGGTGGATTGTGCGGCCGGAAGGGAAGGCTGGCTGTGTGCCAGGGCGGGGGTGGACACAGGCAGGGGGCTCAGGGAGCTGGAGAGCGGGAGAGCGGGAGGGGGTACGACATCGGCTAGCGGAGCCCGGCCCGGGGGGGCGGCGGTGCCAGACGCGGAGGGCGGCCTCTGCTCCTCCCCCGCCTCCTCCCCGCGCCGCGCCTCCTCAGGCTCCGCCACCCCCGCCCTGCGCGGCAGCCGCAGGGAGGGGCCCAGGAAGGCGGAGCCAGCGGCGGCCCAGGCTCGGGGCACCCGCGCGGCTCCCGTTCGCAGAGCACACATCCCGGCGCGACGAGGTAGAAGGCGGCGCGGGCAACGGACGAGGGAGCTGGGCGCCGCGGCGGGAGGGGCGGGAGACCGGACCGAGACCCTCCTCTCGTGCTCCCCGGCAGCCTCGCGGCCCACCGAGCCCACCGCGGGGGTCTCAGCCCCGCCCCTCGGCCCCCGCCTCCCTCTTCCCGCGCCCGCCCTGCCGCGCGCCCCCAGCTCCCTGCCGCGCCGCGTCCTCCGGGACCGCCCTCCAAGGTCCCCTGGGGTCGCCGCTTCTGCGCCCAGCGCGCTCCTTGTTCGTCCCACAGGTTCCTTCGGAGAGCGAGCGGGAGTCGGTGCTCGGCCTCCTGCGGGGAGCAGCCCAAGGGTGAGTCCGGCGTGGCTGGGCGGGGCGGGGGCTGGAGGGCCCGGGGCGGTTCTTATGCCTCTTAGTGGCACCGGGGCTCGGCGCCGCTGGCTGGCTCCATGTTTGTGGAATGAATCAATCATGACTCTCCTTCTCCTCTTCCTAACGAGGACTTTTTGAGGTCCACGTGCTGCAGAGCACCTTAGGGGGCCTCCTGAGATAGGGGTCCCCCCCGCATAGTGGAAGCCGGACTCCCATTTCTCCCCCTCCTCTCTGCACTCCAGTCTGGAGACTCCCTTTGGGTTGGGTCTTGGGGGGTCGGGGAGAGGGGGCTTGTAGGCCCAGCCAGGTAGTTGTGGAAGGTGGGTCCCAGCGGGGGCTTGAGCCAGGGCTCTTACAAGGTTATAGTGGAGGGGGTGCGCTGCGGAGGACAGCAGACACTGTCAGGCAGGGTCACTTGGCACCTCCAAGGCCAGCCTGGAAGAGCCCGCTTGAATGTGGATTTTGACCCACAACTTTCTGAACCCTTACACGCCGCTGTTTCTTCATCAATAAAATGGGAACATTCGCAGTCTTTTCTCAGGACTTTGTGCAGACAAAAAATTTATCATAGAAATCACCCCACACAATGCTTGGCACATTGAGAACACTCAGCACATCTTAGCTTTATTTCTTTCGTCTCTGAAAAAAGTGAGCAGAGTTATTTGTTCCCATCTTCTGTGTCCACAGCTTGGTCTCAGAGAACACAGTAGATGTGTAGTCAGTTTGTTGAATAAATATGCTTGATGGAGCTTCAATACCCACCCCCACCCCCTTCTCCCAGAATCTGCAGGGAGAGGTCAGGACGTGACAACACCAGCATGCCAGTGCTGTCGGAGGACTCTGGTAAGTACTCCCCCGGGCTGAAGACAAGAGCCTGCCTGGCAGCCTCCAGGCCCTGGCAGTGAGAGCCTGGGGAGGGAATGTCCTCACTGCAGGACCAAAGTGCTGTTTGAGGCCCCACTCGGGCTCCTTGGGGGCAGGGAGCACCCACTGCATTTGCTATCCTTTGTTTTTCTCACCCCTCGCCAGGTTTGCATGAAACCCTGGCCCTGCTGACCTCCCAGCTCAGACCTGACTCCAACCACAAGGAGGAGATGGGCTTCCTGAGGGATGTTTTCAGTGAAAAAAGCCTCAGTTACTTAATGAAGGTGAAGTCCCACGTCATCCTGCCTGGAAGGGTGTCTAGAGGTCTTTCTAGCTGTCTGGGGCTGTCTGAGGTCATCCTAGTCATCTCCCTGCCCCAGGAAGGCCTTCACTTGCCCACTGCACAGGACTTTCTCTTACGGTGCCCCATCAGTGGCCCAGTGTGCTGCCCCAGTTGTCCCCACAGCCATGGGTGGGATGTGTGGTGTCCAGGGTGCATCTGAAATACTCTGTCTTTGCAGATTCATGAGAAGCTTCGCTATTATGAAAGGCAAAGTCCAACCCCAGTTCTGCACAGCGCTGTGGCCCTCGCTGAGGACGTAAGCCCCAGGTTTCTCCTTAGAGTGTCTGCCCCACTCCCTACCCTGTAGAGTTCCTTCATCTTGCCTCGTTTGCTTAGTCTGGGGACACCAGGGATGAGGATCCCAAAGGTGAAGAGGTGTTTTCTTCCCTTGTCCTCCTCTTTCTCTTCCTCTCTCTGGGTTCCCCGAAAGGCAGGGAGGAACCGGTGAGCCTTGGACTGGGTTGGGAGACACTGACATCGGGCTGCCCACTATGTGTGTGTTCTTGAGCTATTTCCTCTGCTGTAAACGAGGGCATTGGATTGGCCGAGCAGTTCCCAAACTGCTCTGAAGACGGGTGATTTGAATAGGTCAATTAGACATTGTATCTGTGCTTTCCTGAAGTCAAGGGACCTAGAGTGTGTCCCCGCATACTGGCTCAGGCTTCTCATTTTTTAAAGGAACGCTTCTTAATTTCTTGTGGACCTAGTCCTTTGTGTTGCATGGTTGGGGAAAACCCATTCTGGTTGATTACTAAGATCAGCTCCTGAATAAACTCTCCTAACCCCAGGAGATGGCCTGGGGAGGGATGGGTGCAGCCCATGGGTGCAGAGCCCTGGGCCCTTCTCCACTGTGAAATGTGATTAGGGGCACATTAGGTTGCCCGGTTCCCAGGCTCAGCGCTGCCTGTCCCGCTGGCTCTGTGATGTTAAGTAGGCCACTCAACCTCTCTGAGCTCTCATTTCCTCATTCATAAAATAGCATCTGAGAGCCAGGTAAGCCTAGGTTCAAATCCTAGCTGTGCTGTATATGAGCTCTGTGACTTCGGGCAAGATGTTTAATCTCTTTGAGTCTCAGGATTCTCCTCTGTAAAATGGCAAAGTAACAAGACCCTCTGCATCAAGTTGGTTGCAGGGTTCAGTGAGAAGATCCACATAAAGCGGAAAGCACATAGGGCTTAAAATGGTGGCTCCTTGGAGGATGGCCCCATCGAGCTGCTCCTGACCCCTGGTGTGATGTTCCCGGGATCATCGTCCTGGTGTGGCTGAGGGTCTGCCCCTCAGCCCCTGGGGGCTGCAACTGGGTGGGCCCTTGGGTCTGTGGCCCAAAGAGGAAGGACCCAGCAGATGTGGGGCAGGGGCACCTCTAGCCATCGGTGGCGCCTGTCTCATTCTCTGCAGGTGATGGAGGAGTTGCAGGCCGCCTCCGTGCACAGTGATGAGAAGGAGCTGCTCCAGCTGCTGTCCACCCCGCACCTGAGGGTAGTCGCGCAGAGCCCCTGCCCACCCCTGCCTCTGTGTCTCCTGGGATAGGGGTCGAGGGAGCGCTCCTCGTGAGGCTGAGGAGTGGAGACTTCTGAGGGAGTGATCTTCAGCACTAGCGTCTGGGCAGTTGTCTCTCTGACATGGCGTCTGCCACCCTCCAGACCACCACCCAACCACGGCCTGCTGACCCTGTGAGTGGCGGGCCAGCCCTCCTTTTCTCTTACTTTCCCGGCAGGCTGTGCTCATGGTACATGACACGGTTGCCCAGAAGAATTTTGACCCCGTTCTCCCGCCTCTGCCTGACAATATCGATGAGGATTTTGATGAGGAATCTGTGAAGATCGTCCGCTTGGTGAAGAACAAGGAACCCCTGGTAGGTGCTGCTGCCTGCTTCTCTCTAACCCACTCTTCCCCTGCCTCTCACCCCCACCCAAAACACTGGGACAAGACCCTCCCCGAAGTCTTCAGAGTGAGTGACAGCAGCTTTGCCGGGGCTGCTGCTCGTCCCTGTGGCGCCTCTGTATGCAGGGCACCCCTTCCTCTGGGTGGGTACAGCCCCTCTCAACTGTGGCCAACCCGCTTTGTGCAGTAAATAACCTGCACAATTGTATAGGGTGACCCTGATCATCCTTTAAGCCAGAAATGGACAAACTACAGCCCAAGGGCCAGACCCAGCCCACAGCTTATTTTTTAAAATAAAGCTTTTTTGGAGCACAACCAGGCCCATTCACTTACCGATAGGCTGTGACTGCCTTTATAGTGCGATGGCAGAGTTGAGTCATTGTGACAGAGACTGTGTAGCTGGCCTAAAATATTTACGTGTGGCCTCTTACAGAAAACGTGTGACAATGCCTGCTCTGAAGATTGAGGAAGCACGGGGCATTCCTCTCCCCAGTAGACAGATTGCTATCATTTTGGTCCTGGTTCAGCATTGATTTACTGAGCAAAGGGACAGGGTTGTTTATGAGATGCACGGAAGTGGTGGAAGCCCAGAGAATTGAGATTGGCTCCAGAAGATCCCACAGCTGTCATTCTTTATTTCCAGCTTTCCCCAAATGACCTCCAATGAGCCTCTTCTGCAAGCAGACGAGGATCTCTCCTCTCCCTCTGTTTCCTCACCTGTAAAATGGAGCAGCCATCCGTTGATTTAGCAAACACATTGTGAGCCCTCCTATCCAGGCTCTGTATTGGGTGCTGGCAGTTCAGAGCTGAATAAATGATGGATAGCGATGCTGGAAAGTTCTCAGGTCTGAGGGGCTAGAAGTCCTGGGGTTCTTAGTTGATGGCCTCTCTTTCTAGCAATAATTATTTTATGTACTTCAAATAGATGGCACAGATGATGTTAACAATAAGTGTGCAAATGTGTTTGCAGTTACAGCCACTAATAAGTGGTTAACATATGTTGAGTGCTTACTGTGTACTGCCTTGCATGGAATCCTTGCAACAACACTGTGAGTTAAATGCTGTCCTACATCTCACAGGAAACAGGCTTGAAGAAGATAAGAGATTTCCTTGCCAAGGCCACATGCTTTCTGTAAATGGCGGAACTGTGTTCACACCCAGGGCTGTCCAGCCCTAGAGCTTAGCTCTTAAGCTTTCTGCTGTCCTGCTGCAGTCCAGCCTCTGTGGTGCAGGAAATCGAGGGCTCGTTAGTGCTTTTCTCATCCTAAGTGTCATCTCTGCTGTGCTTCATGGGCCAAGTCCTGGTCCTGAAGCTCTGGCTGGGGTGCATAATTGGTTTCCCTCAGCAGCAGCAGAAGGCCCGGTAACCTTGTGATTGGGTAGAGGCAGGGTGAGAATTAGCTGGCACGTATCATCCTCATTATTAAATGTCTTTGCAAGTGGTAGGAAGTGTGATATGACAGAGATGTGATGGAGAACGTACTGGATTTGGCATCACAAAAAGCTTTCCCCTTTACCAGCTGGGTGACCTTGAGGATATTTAACTTCTCTGAGCCCCAGTCCCTCATCTAAAATGTTGCAGCGTTATTTTGCCTTGTAAACTGTGAAGTGCAGGGCTGTACTAATGGGAGATGTTGGTTTTGTTTTGTCTTCAGCATTGGGAAGGTCCCCACTGATCTGTCCTCAGGACTGTCAGAGGGAGGGACTGGGGAGGCTGTGCTGGGTCCAGAGAGTAGGGGTCTGAGATTTGGAGCTGCTGCTTAAGAACCTGTCTCTTCTGTCTCGGGTTCAGGGTGCCACCATCCGGCGGGACGAGCACTCAGGGGCTGTCGTGGTGGCCAGGATCATGCGAGGAGGCGCAGCAGACAGGAGCGGTGAGTGGCAGCGTGCAAAGCTGGCCCACCCCTGATCATGGCCATTGTTCCAGAGCCCTCCACCTTTGCTCATAGATCCCCTTACCTCTCTCCTATCAGGCCACCTGTTTGGGATATGCTTTGCTTTCTGGGGTTGTGGCTGGAATTCTCATCTCCTTCCCAAGTCAGTAGAAATTTTAATAGAAAATATAGGCCAGCTGGGCGTGGTGGCTTACACCTGTAATCACAGCACTTTAGGAGGCTGAGGTGGGCGGATCACTTGAGGCCAGGAGTTGGAGACCAGCCTAGCCAACATGGTGAAACCCTATCTCTACTAAACACACAAACCTGGGAGGTGGAGGTTGCAGTGAGCCAAGATCATGCCACTACACTCCAGCCTGGGCAACAGAGTGAGACTCTGTCTCAAAACAAGAAACCGGGTGCTGTGGCTCACACCTATAATCCCAGCATTTTGGGAGGCCAAGGTGGGCAGATCACCTGAGGTCAGGAGTTCGAGACCAGCCTGACCCACATGGAGAAACCCCTGTCTCTACTAAAAATACAAAATTAGCCAGGATTGGTGGTGCATGCCTGTAATCACAGCTACTTGGGAAGGCTGAGGCAGGAGAATCACTTGAACCTGGGAGGTGGAGGTTGTGGTGAGCCGAGATCACACCATTGCACTCCAGCCTGGGCAACAAGAGCAAAACTCTGTCTCAAAAAAAAAAAGAGAAAAAGAAAATATAGGCCATGCACGGTGGCCCACACCTGTAGTCCTAGCTATTCGGGAGGCCCAGGTGGGAAGATTGAGGCCAGGAGTTTCAGGTTGCAGTGGGCTGTGATTACACCACTACACTCTAGCGTGGGTGACGCAGTGAGATTGTCTAAAAAAAAAAAAAATAATTATATATACATATATACGTATATATTTTATATATACATGTGTGTATATATATATATAAAAAATAGTCATAGAGTACTTTGGGGTGATTGAGAAAAAGCTCATACGTTGGTTTAGTCCAAGGACTGTGACAGTTAAGAATATAGCATGGGATTGGGGGATTACTAACTGTGGGACAGGGATGACACCCTTCCCCACCACCCCAGGTCTTGTCAAGCCACTATTACAAAGCGAGTGTTTGTGCCCCAGATTCATTTGGGTAGAAAGGTTGAGAATCACCGGTGTGTGGAAGAGCTACTAAGCTGGGAGACAAACCTCCTGATATAGGGGGATGTTACCCCCAAAGTCTGGGGTTCACCGTTGCAGAGAATCCTAGACCAGCACTTTGCAAACATTAAGGAGTACACGAATTCCCTGAGCATCTTGTTAAAATGCAGACTGATTCAGCAGGTCTGAGCTAGGCTGAAGATTCTGCACTTTTAACCTGCCTCCAGGTGATGCTGATGCAGCCAGGCCAGTGTCCACTTAGAGTAGCCAATAGGGCCCTAATATGCCGAGACATTTGTCGTTCAGGCAGAGGCTCATATTGTGTTTACAGTCTTAATGATGTCTTCACCGGCGCTTTTGTCTTTCCTTGTTAAGACTGAAGGACGCCATTCTAGGAGTATATCTGTAAACCTAGGAAGGTGAAGAGTTAATGATAAGTTTAAAGAAGCAGAGGTTATAGCAAAAAGAACACAGGCTTTCTACATCAGAATAACTGTGTTTGAATACTGGCTTCATTATTTCTTAGCAATGTGGCCTTATGCAAGCTGCTTAATCTTCCTGGGTCTCAGGGGCCAATTTGTAAAATGGAGATTTTACTGGGTGATTTGAGCCGTCCATGCCAAGTGAGGTGCCCAGCACTCAGGGGCTTAGTTCGCCCGAGTCCCACCCATCAACTTTAAACCTCGAGTTGGCCCTGCAGTGGGCTCCTCAGGCAGGCCCCTGTGGTGCTTGGAGCTCTGAGTGATTGGTGCTCAGGCTCTCCTCCTGTGCTGATGGTCAGTCCCTTTGTCTCCTAGGCCTGGTCCACGTTGGAGACGAGCTCCGAGAAGTGAACGGGATCGCAGTCCTGCACAAGCGGCCCGACGAGATCAGCCAGATTCTGGTCCGTGCTACATGCCTGCTAGGGATGTGCTGGGTCTTCAGACACCCAGAGCAGGGCGCTTTCCGGAGCCAAGGCAGATTCTGGCTTAGCCTTGCTGTTGTCCTGAGGAGGTGGCAGGCAAAGTGGCCTTATGGTGTGCCCCTAACGGTGTGCTTGGGGTATGGGGTGGCAGCAGGAGGAGGGGAACTTCCCTTCATCTGCCTCTCTTAGACCCTCTTCTCAGCACAGCCTTCCTTCCTTCCCCTGGCTCCCTTTTACAAGGTCCCTCCTGGGTCCTGGGTCCTGGGTATGAATCCTGGCTCTGCCTCCTTCCAACTGTGCAACCTTGGACAAGCCATCAGATCATCTGAGTTTCCATTTCCTTTCCTTTAACGTTGGGATAGGGATTCTTTCTCAGCCAATGTGTGGTTATCATTGGGATGCCAACATCTGGAAAAGGGTAAAGCCCTTCAGAAGTATAAGGGGATTTCAAGGTACTAAATGCTTGGCTGAAAACCTCCATGGTCCATTCTGGGGAGTTGAAGTCAAAACTGAAATTGTGAAAAACCAAACAATCATAGCTTGGTCCCCTTTATCCTCAGGATTCCTCCCCCAACCTGATACTCTTTGCTAACTTCTGATAGTTTTGGGGGCAGAAACAGGATAAGATCGGAAGAGAGGAGGCCCACTGTTTAAAGCCCTCTCTGGGCTGGGCCCAGTGGCTCACACCTGTAATCCCAGCACTTTGGGAGGCTGAGGCAGGTGGATCACCTGAGGTCAGGAGTTCGAGACCAGCCTGGGCAACATGGTGAAACACCATCTCTACTAAAAATACAAAAAATTAGCTGGGCATGGTTGTGGGCCCCTGTAATCCCAGGTGCTTGGGAGGCTGAGGCAGGAGAATAGCTTGAATCTGGGAGGCAGAGGTTGCAAGCAGTCGAGAGCATGCCAGTGCACTCCAGTCTGGGCAATGAGAGCAAAACTCTATCTCAAAAAACAAAACAAAACAAAACCCCAACAAAATAAAGCCCCCTCTGTAGAGGATGCAGATTGCAGGCAGGCCCTTCAGTCCTTTTGCCCAAGCTTGCTTTTTTGTGGCTTTGGGTGCCAACTTCCTTGTGCTGCAGAGCAAGGGTGTGGGCTGTCTGGGTAGTGGAGAGGCCAGGAGGTGGTCTGTTGGGCCCTGCTGTCCTGGTCCGACAGCATTCTTCCTTGTTGGGCCCCTGGCATTGGGCTGCAGGGTCTCTGTAGATGAGGGTGAAGGGAGCTCCTGGAAAGCTGGGCATGACCTGAGACTGGGGAGATGGAAGCAAAGAGGGAAGTATTAATCAGAGACCAGCCCCAAATCAGTCAGGTAAGAGGCAAAGGAAGCTGAAATGGGTTGTTCAAATGACCCAAGAGGAAAGCAAGGAAGGGAGCCCTCTGGGGCCCTAGCGGTCAGCAGGGATGGAGGATTGGAATTCAACACGTAGTCCTTGGGTTCTCATGGAAAGTCTTTCGTCCCTTTGTCTTTTGAAAATACAGTTACCAATCCTCCACTGCTAAATTTGAACTGGCTTTAAAATAATAAAAATACAAAAAAATACAAAAAGGTACAGTTACTTGGTTACTGAGTTTTGCTTTAGTTCATTCAACCAGTGCACCATCCTAGAAGGGTGGGCCTTGGGAGGCTGCAAGTCTGACTTTCTGAACATCAGTTTTTAGGCCTGAGAAGTAGGAGTTGAGCTCTTGGAGGGTTAGACCTGGTAGGCGAGAAGCTTCTGTTCTCTCTCGTTTCAGGCCCAGTCCCAGGGATCCATCACCCTAAAAATCATCCCAGCCACCCAGGAGGAAGATCGCTTAAAGGAGAGCAAGGTATGGGGAGGTGGGCCTGCGGTGCCCTCTCTCAGCTTGAGAGATGCAGCTCGCTGGCTGGGGGCTGGATCTAGTCCAGCCTCTTGAAACAGTCATTCGGGAACAGATCATAGATCTGGTCCTAGTAATCTGTGCCCATTGAAGGACTTTAATTCTGTCACAAAGTGATTCATTTGTTTGTACCCTGCCTCTTTCTAAACAGGATTTGACGTGCTTACTAATAATAAAAGACGAGGTTATTTTAATTGAAATAGAAACTCAGGGCCATGAAGAGGAGGAGAAGGTACCAAGTGTGCTGAATTCTGAACCAATTAAGTAACTGCCATTTGTGTAATTGTTGCTGAGCCTGCCTTATTTGGTCACCTCCTCTGTGCCAGGCACTCTGCCAGATGCTGGAGACAGGGACTCTTGGTAGCTTCAAGGGTTCCTGGTGCAGAAGGGCAGCAAATCTTTCCTTGCTATGTAATAAGTGCTTTGTCAAGATTCTGTACAAAGAGTTACAGTCACCCTTGAGGGTGTCAGAGTGGGGGTGTTGGAACTGAGGCCTGAAGAAGGTAAAGAAGAGTAGGACCTTGGCAGGGTCTGCCCATACAGAGGCTCCCTGGCATTCTGGAGAGGAGCACGTTAAGGGCGATGTGGTGGGGCTTTGTGGGGAGGATGGTGGTGGGTTTTGCTGGGGAGGTGGGTTAAGCCTATGTTCTGAATGGCCTCGATGCCTTGTTAAGGGTTTTGGCATAATCCTTGCTTAGTTTGGGGCCTCTTAGAAGCTGCCCCTGAGACAAGGATTTTAATACAAATGGTTTATTTGGGAAGTGACCCCAGGAAACACCAGTACAGGACTGGGAAAGGGAAGACAGCTGATCTGACCAAGGGTGTGTTATCAAGCAGATTACCACTATGGGCAGCTGGAGCTTAGTCCTGCTGGGAACTTGGGGAACTACTTCCTCCCCTGTGGAACACATGCCTCTATCATCCCACCCAGGGGCCCTGGGAGCTGGGCGATCTGTACACCAACTCCTGCCAGGCTGCACCTGGGGGATTAATTCCTAGCAACTTCTGCCTGCTGGATTAGAGAAGAGCAGGCTCCAGTGGCCAGAGAAAGTAAGTCCCTAGGCAAAGAGATGCAGGTGCTGGCAGCTGGAAGTCAGCCCAGGCTGCACTGAATGGTCCAGCCCTGGGGCATATGGGAAGGCATCCCACAGCCCAAGAGAGATAGTCCCATAGATTCTAATAAGCTCTTAAAGGTGTTTTTTGTTTGTTTGTTTGTTTGTTTTTGGTGTGTGTGTGTGTGTGTGTGTGTTTTAAGGATGGGAGTGGTACAGTTATATTTGTGTTTTAGAAAGCTCCCTGAGGCAGCCACGGGGAGAGGGTGGCGTGGGTAGAGGTAGAGGTTGGAGGCAGGGAGGCCTGGTAGAAGGCTCTTGTAAAAGCCCAGGTGAGACATTATTAAGACCTGAACTGTGAGATGATGGTTGATGACATAGAGAGGAGGGCATCACTTTGATTTCACAGTACATTTGGATCTGAGTTTCCTGGCAGCCAAGGCAAGAAGGATAGCATAATGAATTACATACTGTTGAGCAGAGAATGGAAGGAAGCATGCCAATTTTTCAAGATTGATTCCCATACCTGCCTGTCAGTACTTAATGCATGAAAGAAGAGATGTTACAGCATGGGGCACAGAGGGGATGTCCATCGATACTTTGAAGAATGTGGATTTGTAATGGACTATGTCTTCAATGACAGTTTTTTGCAGCAAGTGAAGAAATAATCTTTATATAGCTGTTTCTTATTTGTGCTCTTTGGTTAAATCCCAGGGCATAATATTTCCTGTTACCTGGTGGAAAGTGATTCTTTTTAGGGCAAGCAAATGTGGTCCCCATATACAACTTTGAGGGTTCTGACTTGAGGAACCCTCTTTGAGGAAGAGAACTTGGTTTTCCTAAAGGACAAAATGAGTAGCCTGTCCCCCAGCCCATCCTTCTTGAATATTTCTTCTTGATCCAGATGCTTGATTTGGGCTGGCCACTTAAGATTACACTCTTCTGAGTGCTTAGGACCCTGGTAACATCTGTGGCTGGTTAAGGGTATCTGTCCCCACAACATATGCCAGAAAGTTCTTACTGTTGTCCAATGGACTCTTTTCTGGTTGGCATATAAAGGAATACAGTCTGTATCTGTCTGAGGAAGACCCCTGATTGCTTTTTTTTTTCTTCTGTTTGCCACTGAAGTGATTGGGCCCTAATGGTCTGAAAATAGAAATAAATAAAATTAATCCATGCCACCAAATTATAGAAGAGAACAAGGAAGTGTGAAAAATGCTGTGTACTCACACCATCTTCTCCAAAGAGGGTGACTCTAGAGTAGAGGGGGGAATTGGGGCTTGGCCGAGTCTATGGCAGATGAGGCAGGATTGAGCTGTAAGAGGTGTGGGTGTCAATTACCCACTGAAAAGTGATGGTGAGGAGTCAGTAACAGTAGTTTTGTTGATATTTGTGTTCTTACCCAAACATCTAGATTACTTATATAACAGATGGCTGCTGCCTTCCGTCAGCTCAGTTGGCGTGTCAAAAATAACACTTGAGTTAGAAATTGTGCTTGCCTTTACTTTTTGTTCCCAGGATTTGTTGTTGCTGTGTGTATGCTAAGAGGCTGTTATGAGGACAGCTGGTCAAGTAAATAAGGAAATATTTAGGTGAGAAAGATATTCAGTCATGGGGTCTATTAATTTTCTGATTCTTGATGGAATTCCTGACTATAGTATCCCAAATGGTTGAAGAACAGTTAAGAACGTATGTGCAGTGTTTCCAAGTAGCTTTCTATTCGAAAGGCTGCTTGGCCCTCCTAAGTGTGGGTGGTCATTGTCATGTGGCCTTTGATGTGGCAATGACCTGTCTGTGCCCACGTGGGGAAGGGCCGCCTCACCAGAGCCCTCCTTGTGCAGGTGTTCATGCGCGCCCTCTTCCACTACAACCCTCGCGAGGACCGGGCCATTCCTTGTCAGGAGGCGGGCCTGCCCTTCCAGCGCAGGCAGGTCCTGGAAGTGGTGAGCCAGGACGACCCCACGTGGTGGCAGGCCAAGCGAGTCGGGGACACCAACCTTCGAGCCGGCCTCATCCCCTCCAAGCGGTTCCAGGAGAGGTGGGTCTGGGGTATGTCGTGAAGGGCTGGTTCCAGAGTGGCAGAGGTGCAGGTACATGACCGGCCCCCAAGTCTCTGTGTCCTCACAGCCAGAGGGGCCTGCTGAGCATTGTTTCCCCAAGGTAAGTACCAGTTGCACTTGTGTTTGGTCTTTTCCCATAACTAGTGGTGATGGCTATTTGAGATTTAAAGGAATCTATTGTGTGTGTGTGTGTGTGTATAAATATACACACACACACACAAAATACGTGTATATACACAAATATACACACACACACTTTTTTTTTTTTTTTTTTTTGGAGACAGAGTCTCACTCTGTCACCCAGGCTGGAGTGCTGTGGCGCAATCTTGGCTCACTGCAACCTCCACCTGCCGGGTTCAAGCGATTCTCCTGCCTCAGTCTCCTGAGTAGCTGAGATTACAGGCATGCACCACCATGCCTGGCTAATTTTGTATTTTTAGTAGAGACAGGGTTTTGCCATGTTGGCCAGGCTGGTCTCAAACTCCTGGCCTCAAGTGATCCACCTGTCTTGACCTGCCAAAGTGCTGGAATTACAGGCATGAACCACTGGGCCCAGCCTAAGTTAATGTATATTTTATAATGCATGCTTAGAGAATGCTGAGAAATAAAATATAAAAATACAGAAGAGAGGCTGGGCATGGTGGTGGCTCACGCCTGTAACCCCAGCACTTTGGGAAGCCGAGGCAGAAGGTTCCCTTGGGCCCAGGAGTTCGAGACCAGCCTAGGCAACATGGTAAGACCTTGTCTCTCTCTAAACAAAAAATAAAAACTTAACTGGGCATGGTGGCACACACCTGTAGTCCCGGCTCCTTGGGAGGCTGGGGTAGGAGCATCGCTTGAGCCCAAGAAGGTCAAGGCTGCAGTGAGCTGTTTACCACACCACTGCACTCCAGCCTGAGTAACAGGGTGAGACCCTGACTCAAAAAAAAAAAAAAAAAATACAGAAGAGGAAGACTATGAAAGAAAATTCCCCACGTCTCACCCCTATCTAAACAGCAGTTTATTTCCTTACTGTGCTTTTTATGTGAGTGTTGCATACAGAATTTGGGGTCCTGCCTTTTTTTTTTTTTCTTTTTAACATTTTTGGCATGAGTATTTTCCATATTATAGCATCGTTTTTGTGGTGTGATTTTAGTGGCTATATACTAACTCATCAGGAGCTGTGCCATTCATTCCTAGGCGGCAGGTACTTAGGATGAATTGAGCTGGCCTTGTGCTGAGCATCTTGCAGGCTGCTGTGAACCTGGGGTTTCTGCCCTGGAGGAGCTTATAGTTCAGTGGAAAAGTCAGACACTCTTCAAACAAACAGTTTATGTAAATGTGATGGGTGCAAGGGAGGAGGACATGGTGCTCTGTGAGTTCATATTAGGAGGCTGCATCCTCATCCAGGAATGCAGGGAAGGCTTCTCGGAGGAACTAGCTAAGTGATTTCACTGCTTTCCTGTGGCTGCACTTTTATTAGGTTGTTCCCAATTCTTCACTGTTAAAAGGCTTCAGTATACTTACCTTGCACATAGACTGTTCCTCATATTTCAGATTATTTCTTTAGACTTCCAAGAAGTTCAGTCTTGGTTCAGAGGGTGGTAGTTGTGACTTCCTCTGTGGGTTGTAGCCCTCACATCTTTTGGTGTGTGGACGGTGGTAAGGACAGAACCTCAGGGTTCACCCATTTCAGTGGCCCCCTGGCCGGGGGCTTCAGCATCACCTGGGAACTTGTTAGAAATGCAAATCCGTGGGTCCCACCCAGAAACTCCACATTCTAACAAATGTTCCAGCTGATTCTGAGGTGCCGAAGTCTGAGAACGAAGCTCTGTCCCCTTGGGAACCCCAGACCCATCTCCATTTTAGAGTTGACAGGTCTTGGCAACATCTTACCAGAGGATGTGGGGGAGGGCTCTTCAGCTGCATTTTTTTTTTTTTTTTTTTGAGACATAGTTTCACTCTATCCCCTTGGCTGGAGTGCAGTGGTGCGATCTCAGGTCACTGCAACCTCCGCCTCCCGGGTTCAAGTGATTCTCCTGCCTCAGCCTCCCGAGGAGTTGGGATTACAGACGTGCACCATCATGCCAAGCTACTTTTTGTATTTTTTCACCATGTTGGCCAGGCTGGTCTTGAACTCCTGACCTCAAGTGATCCTGCCACCTCGGCTTCCCAAAGTGCTGGGATTACAGGTGTGAGCCGCCATACCCAACCCTTCGGCTGCATTTCAATGTGGGAATCTGGACACCTCTGAGAGCCTCACCTCTCCACTGACAGCCACATTGGACAGTCTGCCCGGGCTGAGCCTTCCACTGAGGGGAGGGTGTGAAATTAGGGTCACTTCTGTCCTCAGCCTCTCTTGGGAGTCATTCTGCTATTTCCCAGCTCCCTCAGAGATGGGGAGGCTGGAGAGTAGAGAAGGGGCCGCCTCTCCTTGGAAATTGGCCATAGGGGAGTAATGACCAGCTGAGGATCGTACACTGGGCTGGATCCCTGTGTGGCCATCTTGAGCTGGATGAGCTATTTCTGGACTTAGAGACTCAGTTTCTTCCTCCTGACGAACCAGTGAGCCCTGTGAAAGTGTTCCCTTCGTTGGAACTTAGTGCGAAGCAGGAGGCCCTCAGAGTGTCCAGTGTGTGCCCACCTGTGGGATCCAGGCCTTGGTTTCCCAAGTTTTCCAGAAAGTTCCTTTCAAATGATTCTCTGGCCCAGCTCACGGGCCCACCCATTCCCTTGTGTCCCTGCAGACGACTAAGCTACCGGAGAGCCGCGGGCACCCTGCCGAGCCCCCAGAGCCTCAAGAAGCCCCCCTGTGAGTAGATTGTCAGGGATGGCACTCCGGGGAGGGCCCGGGGTTAGGATGAGGAAGGATTCAGGCTGGGAAGAAGCAGGCAGTGGGCTGGAGGGGGCATCAGGGGTCTTGTCTGAGCTCATGGACTCCAGAGGAAGGAGGGGGTGGGAAGTAGGAGGTGGCTGGAGTCACTGGAGAGGAGCTTGTATATTTGGAGTCCATAGATGATGCTGGAGGATATATTAACAACTTTCCCAAACTGATGTGCAGACGTGTGTGTGTGTGTTCACGCGCGTATGCATGTGCGTGTGAGGATCTACAGCTTTCGTTAGATTCCCAAGGGCTCTCTGACCCTGAAAATGGAAGAAGCAGTGGCGTTGGAAGGGAATGGAGAAGGCCGTGTGTGACCCGGTGCCTCTAGTAGGGCTGCCAGACTGCCAGACTGGGCAAATACAAATAAAGGATGCCCAGTTGAAGCTTGAATTTCAGATAGATGACAGATTGATTTATAGCATAAGTATGTTTTTATTTAGTTTTTATTATAGTAGAAGTATGTCCTGTGCAATATTTGGGACATACTTACACTGAGAAGTTACTTCTTGTTTATTTGAAATTCAAGTTTAAGTGGGTGTCCTGCGCTTTATCTGGCAACTCTACACTGTGTAGCCCTTTACACTTTAGAAAACACGTCCACCTACTTCTTGGAACGCTATGAAGTCAGTAGAGTCAGGTATCTTTTCTAAGCTGGGAATATGTAGGGTCACAAGGTGAAGCGAGCAGAGGTGGGGTCACATTTTCTGAAGGCCTGTGATCAGAGCCCCAGGGTAGGGCCCCGTGTAGAGAGGAAGCTTTTCCAGGGCATGGTCTCACCGGTACTAGAGGGCAGACTTGTAACCGAGTGAGTGGCCTGAGCAGGTGCCAGGTGACCAGAACACAGATGGCCTGCGGCTCTGCTCCACCCCGCTCCACCCTCAGGCATCTATGTTTTCCAGGGCCGGACTCCAACCCCAGAAAAGAGAGAGTGGGTCCTATTCCCCCTGCAGGATCCTAGAGTAAGCTGCTCCCTGGGCCCCTGACAATGGCCACTTTTCCAGACTTGCTGTCAGGTTAGAAGGGCCACTGAGTGCAGTGGCCTTGAGGCTGCTGCGCCACTGACGAGCTGGCTTTCTCTGGGCTGCTAATGAGACACACACAAGAAGACTAATTAGAGCAGGTCTTGGGGTTTAATAATGTACCACAGCTCAGATCACAGGTTTACTGGAGGAAAGGGAGAGAGGCCAGATGGCGGGCTCCTCAGGCACCCAGGCCGTGGCTGCTCTCAGCCGCAGGGTCCCTGCTTCCCTCCACTAACGCTGTTCCATCTGTCTTTTGTGCAAACCGCAGATGATCAGCCTTGTGACAAAGGTAGGCCCGGTATCTTTCCGCTGTCCACAGGCGCGGCCCCTTTTCCATGGAACGTTTGGGGCCTGAGGGACTCGCGTTCTTTCCCCATGTGGGCAGCTGTGCCCCTCCCGCTGTCTGCACACCTCTTCCTGCTCTGCCAGCCAGACTGGGCTGTTTCTTGAGGCAGGCAGAGTTGGTGGGGACAGGGTTCAAGGCCTTGGGGCCCCTCCCTGCCCTCCTGACATGCAGGGCCCAGCCTTTCCAGGACTCAGCTGTGCTGTGATGGGGCTGGGTAGGAGACAAGGGGTGGGAGGGCAGGGCAGGCAGGAGTGAATTCCTCCTTATTCACACTGCTCACACTCAGGGACTGGGGAGGCCTGCTGGCCTAGAATCCCCCTCAGGGCCTGGAAAGGTTGTTAGGGGCCGAAGCATGGAGAACTGAGCAAAACAGAAGACCTTGCTTTCTTGGGGTGTCCAGGACATGAGATTTCCCCTGAGCTCCCCATGAGACACCATCCCAGGGGGCTCTTCCTGCCCGGCCATCCAGGGGCTGGGTCCCCTGGGCCAGATGTGTCTGGCGGGACTCACTGGCTTCCTTCCCTCTTTTGCTTCCCAGAGGCCTGTGACTGTGAGGGCTACCTCAAAGGGCAGTATGTGGGTAAGTAGCTCCCCCTGACACCCACATGCACAGCCTGCCCCACCCCAGGCTCCAGAGGCAGGGAGAGGTCAAAGCAGGGTGATGTGAGCCCCAGGAGTCCTGGAGCAGCAGAGCCTGTGGGACCCCATCTCTCCTCAGTTCTCTCAGCCTGAGCGGGAGCTGAGCCTGCCCAGGCATTGAGTCCCCACCCAACTTTTACCCAGCCATGGGGCACACACCCCTACATTGATACCAATTCTGTTATCACCATCATCGCAATTGGAGTTTATTCAATGTTAACACCACCACCACACAGTGAGGGGTGTTTACGGCTCTCCAGAGCCCCTTTTCACTTCTTTTACTTTCGTCAGTTTTTTCAAAGGTCTTAGAGATAGGCAAAAAAAATTTTTTTTGTTTTTTGGTTATTTTTTAGAGACAGGGCCTTGCTCTGTCACTCACGCTGGAGTACAGTAGTGACATTGCAGCTTGCAGTAGACTCAATATCCTAGACTCAAACAATCCTCCCACCTCAGCCTCCTGAGTAGCTGGGACTGCAGGCACCTGACACCATGCCCAGCTGAATAAAAATTTTTTTTTTTGTAGAGGTGGGGTCTCTCTATATTACCCAAGCTGGTTTCAAGCTCCTAGCTTCAAGCAATCCTCCTTTCCAAAAAGTTTTTAAACTTTTTCTATTTTTCTTTATTTTTTGAGAAATGGTCTTGCTCTGTTACCCACACTGGAGTGCAGTGGTGTGATCACAAATCACTGCAGCCTCAGCCTCCCAGGCTCAAGCGATCCTTCCATCTCAGCGTCCCTAGTAGCTGGGACTACAGGTGCATGCCACTACACCTGGCTAATTTTTGTATTTTTTGTAGAGACAGGGTTTCACCATGTTGCCCAGCTGGTCGTGAACTCCTGGGATCAAGTGATCCACCTGCCTCGGCCTCCCAAAGTGCTGGGATACAGGCATGAGCCACTGCACCCAGCCCCTTAGCTTTTATTTTGAAGTAATTTCAAACTCACTGAAAAGGTGTAAGAATTATATAAAGAACTCCCATATACTCCACAGCCAGATTGACCAGTTGTTGCTCCTTTGCTGTGTTTGCTCAATTTCCTTTCCCACATCTCTGCATTTTTTTTTCCTGAGTCATATGAGACTTAGTTGTAGACATCATGTCCCTTTCCCACTAAATCTCTCAGCATGTATTTCCCAAGGCCAAGGACTTCCTCAGGGCAATGATCAAATTCTGAGAATTTAAAATGCATCCAAATAACAAATTATATGCTGTTATTTAAATGTTATCAGTTGTCCACATCATGTCCTTTATGGCATTTTCCCTTGGTCCAGGATCCGATCTAGGACCACACATGGTATTTGTAGATTCATGTCCTAATTCCACAGATAAGGAAATTGAGGCTCAGAGAGATGAAGGGACTTGTCCAAAGTCAGTCACATGCCAAGTAAAACAGTGACCTTGAGCCCTAGTTTGTGAATGCAGGGGTCACCCTTTCATCTTACCATTGTGTTTCCCGAACAACCTCTTCCAGTAGCAGGAGGAGGTTGGGAGAAGTCAGTGGGACTCAGTCCCATCTCCAGGTCTGGCCAGGTGGAAACAGTCTCTTCTGGGAGATTCTGAGACAAATGCCATGGTGTCCCTCTGCCCCTCCTTCCAAGCTGGTCTTCGGAGGAGTTTCCGGCTGGGCTGTAGGGAGAGACTGGGTGGCTCCCAGGAAGGGAAGATGTCCTCCGGAGCTGAGTCTCCAGAGCTGCTGACTTACGAGGAGGTGGCCAGGTACCAACACCAGCCCGGAGAGCGGCCCCGCCTGGTGGTTCTGATCGGTAGGTGCCATCCTGGGTTTCCAGGAAGTGATCTGGTTTCCTCCCTGGAGCAGGTGGGGAGGGAGCTCAGCAGGGACCCTGGTCAGCCTTCCTCTTGTTTCCCAGGGTCTCTGGGAGCCCGACTGCACGAGCTGAAGCAAAAGGTGGTGGCCGAGAACCCACAGCACTTTGGTGTCGCTGTTCCACGTAAGAGGGCCCATGTGGGGGTGTGTGTTTGTCTGCACACACACAAATACTTCATGGGGACTTAACTTCCCAGATTCATCCAAATCCTTACTTTGGGTTTAAAGGATCACCAGGCATTGCCTGCTATTGGCAAATTATGGGACAAAGGAATGATGGGAAGAAATCCACTCTCAGTAGTCCTCTGAGACCCTCTGAGGCAGAAGCTGGAGGACCACTTGCATGGTTCCTGCCTGGGGTGGGAGGTGAGTCCAGAGCACATTGTAGGCAAAGTGGCAGCCTCAACCTGACACCAAAGGGCCTCCACAGTAGGGGGCATTCCTCCTCATCACAGTGAATTTTGACTCCGATGGCCCCTGCCCTCTGCTTAGATGAGAGGGCAGGTCAGAGAAGCCACAGAACCCTGTGAGTGGTATTTCTTGGCACTCCCTCATAGCCAGATTCCAGTTTGTCAGGGTGGCTGGGTACATTCCTCCCCTGCCAATTCCTGGGGCTTGCTGCTGCTAGGGTCACCCTGGGATGTCAGGCTCCAGTGGGCAGAGGATCCTGGTTCTGAATGTGATAAGGAGGATGAGGAGGAGGAGAATGAAGGTGCCAGGTAATATGCCAAGAGCTTTTATGTGCAGTCCCCTGGGTCAGCCCTCCCAGTACCCCTGAGAAGAGAGATTGTTATTATCTTGTATGGCAGAGGAAGACAGTGAGGGTCAGAGAGGTTAACTAACTTGTCCAATGTCACACAGTTGGTAAGTGGTGGAACCAAGATTCAAACCCAGGCAGCCTGCCCCAGTCATGTTCTTAATGAGGGTACACAATGGCCTCTCACCTGCTGCCTGCCACTTCATGCCCTTGGCTGCCCCTTTCCTTTCTGGGACTCACTCTCATTCCCCCTGGCCTCAGAGGGATGCAGTATGAATGCCTGGTGGCTACTGAGAGGGGTGCTGTGGCAGTGGTAGTGGGGCCTCCTCAGAGTGTTCTGGGGCAGAGCAGCCACGAAGCCTTACTTTGATCACACTGCTGTCCCTGGGCCCAGCACCTAGTCTGTTGTCAGAGCTGTCTTCCAGAGCCCAGTCTGAAGTGGCAGGGATGTGGGGGAGGTGGTGGCACTGGGGAGGCCATTCTGGCAGGACACCTGTGATGAACCTGGAGGGCTTCAGGGAGCCACAGCCTTCCAAGTTTCAGGGGGACTGAAACAGGACATGCAGAGGTTGCTAACACACTGATTGTTCCGAACCCCCTGGATCCATCCCCTGGGGAAGAGGTACCTGGATGGTCAGGCCCACCTGCTTCTAGGCATTCCACAGATAGGAGACTTTCCTCCTTGGTTTTAGAAACTGGAGGAGTCAAGGAAGCCTTCCCAGAGGCAGTGACTTTTATGCTGGGTTTTGAAGTGTAAATAGGAGTTTTCCAGGCAGAAGAGAAAGGAATAGTTCTCCGTACAGAGGAAACAACATGTGTGAAGGGACAGAGCAGTGTTAGGGACTGGGGAGATTAGTGTGGATGATGTGCTGGAAAATGGAGCTGAGAGGTTGGGCAGATCATGCAGGTCTCATATATTCAGCTAGGGTGTTTAGAATGTAATGCATAGATAAATAAAAGTTTTTAAGCAGGGGGATGATGTGGTTGGAAAAGTGACCCTAGCAGCTCTACCAGAGGTTGGACTAAGATGCCACAGATAGGACACAGGGCATCCCCTGGATGGTTCCCATGGGCCAGAAGACACAGCGCCCCAAGATCCCATTTTATCTTTTGGAAAATGCTGTGTGTGTGGCTTTGTGTGTGCCCTTGTTCTGTGGAAGACCTGATTTTCCTCAGAAGTGTGCATCCCAATTCTGTTATGGAAATCAATGAGAAAACACCATGTGTTTTAACATTTTTGTTTGAGAGCCAGCCTTGCTGAAACACATCCAATCCGTATAGGGACGGTCTGTCTTCCTGTCTCCTTCTTCTGGAGATGAGAACTAATTGACTAAAGAATTAAAAGCATACATCAGGGTCAAATGTATATGTAGCTCCTTTGCTCTCAAAAAACAAAAAACATTGAAGAATTAAAAGTTAGGACCTAGGGGTCTCTTAAGTGATTCTTCAAAAGCCACAGCATCTGCTGGGCACAGTGGCTCACGCCTATAATCTCGGCACTTTGGGAGGCTGAGGCGGGTGGATCACCTGAGGTTGGGAGTTCGAGACCAGCCTGACCAATGTGGAGAAACCTCGTCTCTACTAAAAATACAAAATTAGCCGGGTGTGGTGGTGCATGTCTGTAATCCCAGCTACTCGGGAGGCTGAGGCAGGAGAATTGCTTGAATTGGGGAGGCAGAGGTTGCAGTGAGCTGAAATCATGCCATTGCGCTGCAGCCTGGGGAATGAGCAAAACTCTGTCTCAAAAAAAAAAAAAAGCCACAGCATCAGGGAGTCAGTCAGCAGAGTGGTTAAGGGTTTAAGCTGGGCATTTGGCAGAGAGACCAATTCTGGCTGTGTGCTCTACTGGTTGTGTGTCACTGTGCACAGCGCCGAGCCTCACTGTGCCTCAGTTTTCTCAGCTGCAAAAGGAAAAGCCTCCTTTTGCCTACATGGAAGAGTTGTTGTGTGAATCAGTGATACACCTGCCTGGAAAGGCACAGTGCCTGATACAGGGACATGCGATGAGGTAGAAGTGCTTGGTTTAGACACAGCAGCAGCCAACTCCCAAATGAGTGCCTAAGCCTGCTGCTATCCCCACGTGCTGTGATGTGACATCTCTTTGCCCAGCTTTCCTTCTTTCTTTAAAAGATACCACCAGGCCCCGAAAGAGCCATGAGAAGGAAGGAGTGGAATATCACTTTGTGTCTAAGCAAGCATTTGAGGCCGACTTACATCACAACAAGTACGTTGCTTGATGGGCCAGTTGGCCTTCTAGGCAGCTGCGTCTTTTTGTGTCTACCTGTATTCCACTGGAGCTCCCGGGAGGGCTCCCAGAAAGGATGGGGGAAGCGGGAGAGAAGTCATGTTGGGAGGTCCCCTTTCCTTTGCTAATTTAGGAAAGCTGAGGAACTTAAAGTCTTTTCCCCTTTGGTGGTGTTTTAGGTTCCTGGAACATGGTGAATATAAGGAAAATTTCTATGGAACCAGCCTGGAGGCCATTCAGGCTGTTATGGCCAAAAACAAAGTTTGTTTGGTGGATGTGGAGCCGGAAGTGAGTTCCTGGGCCTGCTGGCCATTTCTGGTTAATGGAATTTATAACTAGGGGATTGTACGTTTTATACAACACAACCTCAGCCTAAGGAATTTTTAGTCTGGAACACTAATTTCAATTTCTTTGGGTCTTCCTTTGAGAATCAAATGAAAGCCTTGTACCCCAAAACATGCCCCTCTGTCCACAAATGCTGCATTAATTGTAGGGAGCTTGTGGACACTCTGGTGGCCACAGACCCAGGCTAGTAACCCCTGCATGGAACAGATCATGCTATAGTTGGTGGCGCTGACTGGCCATTGCCATGTGCCAGAGAATTAGATGTCAGTACCCAGGTGAAGCTGGGGCTGAGCTCTCGGTGCCAGGCCTCCCCCTCCCCAACCAAGGCAGGTGGAGTCAGTGGCTTAGAGAACCACTCAGGGAGGCAGTGAGGAGAGCAGTTTAAAGGGGAAAAAGAGGGAGGGAGACATGGCCCTGTGAAGTGCTTCAAAAACATTTCCACTCCTGCACACCCAGCATGCTGTGGGCTCATCAGGGGCTTAACCATCTTTTTAACCTTGTCTTTTAGAAAAACTTCCAAGCTTTGAACTCAATCTGGGATTTTTTTCCCCCTCTATAGAAACAGATCTCTGATTTTACGATATAAACTGTAGGCTTTATTTTAAAGAAGTTTGCTTGAAACATATTCCAAAAAGCACGTTATGCCTACAAAGGAAAACGCTCACTCATTTGGACTTACAGGGAGTTAGTAATCAAAATTAGAAGTCTGAGTTTCAAAAATTTCTTTGAAAAGTAATTTTATTGATCACTTTATTGATCAAGGGTGCAGATAATGCATATAGCAGTTTAATACTTAGTGTTTCCAAGTGGAGCCCTTACATTCTAGATAAAATGCATTAATCAAGAGTACAGTTCTACAGTCTACAGTTTAAGTGATCTGTTTGGTAATCTCATTTGCTTTGCGAACGTTTTCTTCTTTGAATACCAAGAGGAGATGTAATAGCACAAATTTGGTAATAGTGTAGTCCAATTGATGACATTTGACTAAATAGATACACACTGACTCCTGCGTCCTCACCCATCAGAAATAGAAGGTGGAGAGGAGCCTAAGAAGGTTAATTATAGCCAGAAGGGTCAGAGCTAAGAGAGACAGCAACTCTCTCTGAGCTAGGGCTTAGGAACCTTCTATTTGCAGTGAGTGTGACTTCAGGGCCCCGCTGAGTTCAATGTCGAAGTGAAGGACGAGAAAAGGAGCAGCTGGTCTGCCCCATTGAAGTCCATTGTCATGGGACCCATGTAACCAGGACCTTTGCTGTTGGGGTTATGGGACTGAAGCACACGTTGAGTTTTCAAAAGTATATTTCACAATAAAACACTTCAAAAGTATATAATATTCCTGAACTTTCTTTCTCAGGCACTGAAACAACTGAGGACCTCAGAATTTAAACCCTATATTATATTTGTAAAGCCTGCAATTCAGGAAAAAAGAAAGACACCACCTATGTCCCCAGCTTGTGAGGACACGGCAGCCCCATTTGTAAGTTTAAAGTGGATTGTTTCTTTTCTGAAGGCCTAAGGGAGGCTGTTACAGGAATGCTTCTAGCTGCATCAGGGTGCTTGCAACTGAAGAGGGATGCGGGATGCACCTTCTGCACGTGATTGTCTTTTCATTTTGCCTATTGAAAAACTTAAGAGAAGATGATTGCATGGCCAGAAGGCTCAAGGTGAACAGCTGGAAGTGCCTCCCAAACCAGGCAGGTGGCTTTTCCCGGGCTCACACCCCTCCACTCCCTCACATAAGCACCCTCCCCCAAAATATGACACCTGTCAGGGACCTCACGTGAGTGTGACAGACTACACTCATCAAACTACATTCCTAGGCCAAACCCACGTATTTTTAATTGAAATCCCAACTAACAAGGTCATTATCACTGCTTTCAAACCAGTTTGAATCATCAATGAAGGAAAGGATTTCTAAAACTCGTGGATGAGATCATCTGATGTCTCCTAAATGAACCTCTGTTTCACTGTCATAGATTCTTTGTTCAGCCCAGTCTATGTCAGGATGGCGAAACCCTCACCCAAAACCTAAATATTTGACAGAGTTCTTCTAGGAGGTATGGACTTGATGACTCATCTTTTTTGGTTCTTAACAGGGTGAGTCAGCAGAATGAGCTGGAAGTTATTATGGGTGGTGGGGGCAGTCAGAAGCAACTCAGTCCCAGAATAGACTTTGTTTGCTGTCCTATATAGCTGGTTTCATCTGAAGGAGGCCTTCTCGGATCCTTCCCCTTGGTCAGGAAGCTCCCTCCAAGTCAAGATTTTGATGCAATCCTAGTTCATACTGATTCTCAGTTTTAACTGTCCACATTGATAGATTTTTTATTTTTAAAGACAGGGACTCACTATGTTGTCCAGGCTGGTCTTGAACTCCTGAGCTCGAGTGATCCTCCCACCTTGGCCTCCCAAAGTGCTGGGATTACAGGTGTAAGCCACTGTGCCTGGCCTTTTATTTTTTTTAGGACAGGATCTTGCTGTATTGCCCAGACTGGAGTGCAGAGGTATAATCATGGCTCACTGCAGCCTTGAACTCCTGGGCTCAAGCAGTCTTCCTTCCTCAGCTTCCTAAGTAGCTGGGACTACAGGCATGTACCACCAACACCCAGCCAATTAAAAAAAAAAATTACAGAGACAGGGTGTCTCTGTGCTGCCCAGGGTGGTCTCAAACTCCTGGCCTCAAGTGATCCTCCTGCCTCAGCTTCCCAAAGTGTCGGGATTACAGGTGTGAGCCACCATACCTGGTCTCAATAAATTATTTAGAATGGCATACATACAAGGAACATTAGAAATTCTCTCCTTGGCCAGGTACGGTGGCTCACACCTGTATCTCAGCAATTTGGGAGGCTGATGTGGGCAGATTGCTTGAGCCCAGGAATTCAAAACCAGCCTGGGCAACTTGGTGAAACCCTGTCTCTACAAAAACATTACAAAAATTAGCCAGGTGTGGTGGCACACACCTATAGTCCTAGCCACTCAGGAGACTGAGATGGGAGTGGGAGGATCACTTGAGCCTAATAGGTCAAGGCTGCAGTGAGCCATGACCATGCCACTGCCTTCCAGCCTGTGTGACAGAGTGAGACTGTCTCAAAAAAAAAAAAAGGAAAAAAAAGAAAAATTTTCTCCTTTAGAAACTCTAAGGGGGAGGCTGGCATGGTGGCTTACACCTATAATCCCAGCACTTTGGGAGGCCGAAGCAGGCGGATCACCTAAGGTCAGGAGTTTGAGAGCAGCCTGGTCAAAATGGCAAAACCCTGTCTCATACTAAAAATACAAAAATTATTTTGTGTATTACACCAGGTATGTTGGCGCATGCCTGTAATCCCAGCTATTCAGGAGGATGAGACAGGAGAAACACTTGAACCCAGGAGGCAGAGACTGCAGTGAGCCGAAATCACGCCACTGCACACTCTAGCCTGGGCAAGAGAGCAAGACTCTGTCTAAAAAAAAACACACACACACACAAGAAACTCTAAGGGGAGTATCAGCTTAAGTTTAGAATCATTTAGAAACATACAGTATTGACTGGGTGCAATGGCTCACACCTGTAATCCCAACACTTTGGAGGGCCAAGGCGGGTGGATCACCTGAGGTCAGGAGTTTGAGACCAACCTGACCAACACGGTGAAACCCCATCTCTACTAAATACAAAAAATTAGCTGGGCATGGTGGCACATGCCTGTAATCCCAGCTATTTGCGAGGCTGAGGCAGGAGAATTGCTTGAACTTGGAGGCGGAGGTTGCAATGAGCCAAGATTGCACCATTGCACTCCAGCCTGGGCAACAAGAGCGAAACTCCATCTCAAAAACAAAAAACGGAAATGTACAGTATGCCCATCACATAACAAAAAAATCAGAGACAACCTAAATGTTCACTATCAGGACTCAGTTCAATATACTCCATTACATGACACTTACGGGATGTATTGAAATATTACTGTAGCCAGTTAAAAGCCATATGTTGGGGCCGGATGTGGTGGCTCACGCCTGTAATCCCAGCACTTTGGGAGGCCTAGGTGGGTGGATCACCAGAGGTCAGGAGTTTGAGATCAGCCTCGCCAACATGGTGAAACCCTGTCACTACTAAAAATACAAAAATTAGCTGGGCATGGTGGCAGGCGTCTGTAATTCCAGCTACTTGGGAGGCTGAGGCAGGACAATTGCTTGAACCTGGGAGGCAGAGTTTTCAGTGAACTGAGATCGTGCCACTGTACTCCAGCCTGGGCGACAAAGTAAGACTCTGTCTCAAAAAAAATGATAACTAACTAAATACATAAAAGCCATGTGTTGGAGGAATATTTGATGACATAGCTAAATACAAGAAAAAATAAATCAGAAAATAAAAAAATCAGGATTCTAATTTTGTGTTACACACAAAATACACTAAAATGCTAAAGGCAATTCTCCCTGAATAGTGGGCTCTTAACTAATTTTTGTTTTTTGTGTTTACTGTGTGTTTTTTGGAGGGGGAGTTAACAGCTTTATTGAGATAAAATTTACATACTGTACAATTCACCCATTTAAAGCATATAATTCAATGATGTATTCACAGAGTTGTTGCAACTACCACAGTCAATTTAAGAGCATTTTCATCACCTCAGAAAGAAACCTTGAGCCCATTAGAATTTCCCATTATCTGTTTTCCTCCAGTCCCTTCCTAGCCACAGGCAACTGCTAATCTACGGTCACTATAAATTTGTCTATTCTAAACATTTCATATAAATGGATTCATGCAATATAAGACCTTTTGTATCTGGCTTTTTTCACTTAGTATAGTGTTTTTAAGGTTCATTCATGTATCAGTACTTCATTCTTTTTTTTTAATGGCTGAATCATATTCCATTGTATAGAGTACCACATTTTGTTTACCCATTTATCAATTAATGGACATTTATGGATTTTCAGCTATTATGAATCATGTTATGAATATTCATATACAAGTTTTTGTGTGAACATATGTTTTCATTTCTCTTGGGTGTATACCTTGGCATGGAATTGCTGGGTCATAGGGCAGCTCTATGTTTAACATCTGGGGGAACTGCCAGACTCTACCATGGCAGCTGTACCATTTTACATTCCCAGCAGCAGCATTCAAGAGTTCCCATTTCTCCACATCCTCGCCAGCCCTTGTTATTGTCTGTCTTTTTAATCATAGCACTACTAGTAGGTGTGAAGTGGTATCTCATTGTGGTTTTGATTTGCATTTCTCTAATCATCAGTGAAGCTGAGCATCTTTTCATGTGTTTATTGGCCATTTTTATATCTTTCTTGGAGAAATGTCTATTCAAATACTTTGTCCATTTTTAAATGTCCATTTCTTATTATTGAGTTGTAAGAATTCTTTATCTATTTTGGATACAAGTCCTTTGTCAGATGCATGATTTGCGAATATTTTTTCCCATTCTGTGAGTTGTCTTTTCACTTTCTTTTTTTTTTTGTGAGACAGAGTTTTGCTCTTGTTGCCCAGGCTGGAGTGCAATGGTGCGGTGTTGGCTCACTGAAACCTCTGCCTCCCAGGTTCAAGTGATTCTCCTGCCTCAACCTCCAAGTAGCTGGGATTACAGGCGCATGCCATCACGCCCGGCTAATTTTTTTTGTATTTTTAGGTGAGATGGGGTTTCACCATGTTGGCCAGGCTGGTCTCAAACTCCTGACCTTGGGTGATCTGCCTGCCTTGGCCTCCCAAAGTGCTGGGAGGCACCATGCCTGGCCCTTACTTTCTTGATAGCGTCCTTTGAGGCATAACATTTTAAAATGTGATAAAGTCTAATGTATTTTTTCTTTTGTTGCTTATATTTTTGGTATCGTATCTAAGAAATCATTGTTGAATCCAAGGTCATAAAGATTTACTCCTTTGTTTTCTTTTAAATTATTTATAGTTGTAGCAGTTACATTTGGATCTGTCATCTATTTTGTGTTTTCTGTGGATTGTGTGAAGTAGGGGTCCAACTTCATTCTTTGCATGTGGATAGCCAGTTACCCCAGCATCACTGGTTGAAAAAACTATTTTCTCATTTAATTATTTTGACACCCTTGTCTAGAATCAATTGGCAAGAAAAGTAAGGGTTTCTTTCCAGAGTCTCAGTCCCTTTCCACTGGTCTACATGTCTATTGTTAGGCCAGCACCACACCGTCTTGCTTCGATTACTAGCTTTGTAGTAAGTTTTGAGGTCAGGTTTTTCAAGCTTATTTTGGCTATTCTGGGTCCTTTGCATTGCCATATGAATTTTAGGATCAATCTGCCCATTCGTTTTACTGTATTGGCTTTGTTTTGTTTTGCAAATATTTCAGGATTGAATAAGCAGGGAGGAACTGGCTCATTTTTCCAAGAGTCAAGAAGTCATTAGGAGAGTAAGAGGCAGCTTGCTAGGACTCAAGGAAAGTTCTGCCAAATAATCAGGTCCACAAGCAGTGCCAGCTTTCTAGGAGTCAGAACCCTCCCTGGCCCATGGTTGTTATTTCAAGAGAAGCAGCTGCACTCTATTCCCAGTGTCCTTCCAGCCTGGCCGGTTTTGTCATCTATCGGATCATCTCTTTTATTGCCCACCAGAATACTGCATTCCAAGCAGGTGGGCTGATGATGAAATGCAGCTGGTCCGTTCGTGCTCCACCACCCTGCAGCTGTGAGTAGGCAGCAAGGTCACAGTGAGGCTGTTCAACACAGAGTCCCCGGTTCTACTCCCAGAGATTCCGACCTAGGGGGTTTGGCGTGGGGCCCAGGCACTCCATTTTTAACACTCAGCCTTTCATGTGGTTTTGATGTATGTTGGCAGACCCCAGATGACATTTGGAGAAATTCCTCACAAAGGCATGGGTTGTGTGTAACGTTAAATATCTGTCCATTGTCTGGCACCTGAGTTCCTGGCAGGGGACCCAAAACATCCTCTGTCTGTTTCCTTGCTGACCACAAGTTAATGAGGCTTCTGGCTTCTGACCCAGCAAAGCTAATCCAGCCTGGGGGTGATGGACAGCATGGGGGAATCTTTCCTATGTGATCTTCGGGACTGTGACTCTTGCTGAAGACACAGGTGGCGAGTTCCATCTTTACAGGCCAGGAAAGGGGTTCAGGGGATTTATGATTGCAAAGCAAATGTCACGTGTTTTTGCTCCATTAGAGATTTACTTAAGTTCTTTCCGGATGCACATATTTATTAGGAAGATTGTGGTTCTTTGTGGTAAAAATTTTTCTTCTTTAATTTCTTAACTAGCCAAATGCTTCCGGGATGAACCATGTGGGTGCCTGGAGGAGGGGAAACTGGAAGCAGCAGACAGGTCTATAGGATGGATGTGTGTCAGGGAGTGGGGAAGGAGGGGTTGAAGAGCCAGGGGGCAGTTATGGGATAGTGCGAAGTGCTTCTGAGTATGACAGTAGCCCTGCGAGAATATTCTATATGGAATATAGAATTGAGAAATGTCTCCCAATTTAATCCAATTTTTTCCCTCCTGGAGGAGAAAAGGAGAAGAAATTATCTCAGCCTTCTTAGATAGTACGTTTCAACTGTCTTTGAAGTAGCATGCCACACCCTTTTCCTAGATCTTGAGGACTCGAATCCTGAAATTTCAGATGCTCTCACTAAAGTAGGAATTGGCTTTTGACTGGTGACAGAGAGAAGACGGGGGAATATTTTGGAATGTACGTCTCTTTGGGAGAGAACAGAACTCACCCTTTCCCTGTGGCAGCATGAAAACACCGAGCCCCTAGAAACAGAGAGACGGCGACAGAGGACTAAAAAGGGGAATGAGTGAATGCCAGCAACAAATTTCTTTTTGTAATTTTACTTAGAAAGGGCCTGCCACTTTCCTGTTTTCCAAAACCAGGCAGATTGTCAGACAACTACTCACCCGAACTGGTACTTATTAGAGGTTCTTTTGAATGGAGATGCAAACAGTGCCCACATTGGGTAAGATGGAGTTGTTGCCTATACCTTAATGTTAGGTGTCAGGAAGGCAATCTGATTAAAAAGATCAGCTGCCCTAAGGACGTGGGGAATTTGATTAGAATTGTCCAGTGCTTTCTTAAATAACTCCACTTTGCTGTGCTAGTGTTTGGCTCTGGTGTGAGGAAATGAAAAGAATTTAGTTCTACACTCTGAATTTAGGAGTCTTCAGGAGGACATTAGAATGATTTCTTCTTCCACTAGTTGATTGCAGAAATGTTTGCTCTGTTTTTATATAGTTATTATTTATAGTTCTTTCTTATAATTATTTAACCTGTGTACTAAATGCCATGCAGCACAATACTGCTACTTCTTTGGAAGTACTTCTGAGGCAGGAAGTGTGATATTGACATATATACACGGATATAGAATCAGCATTCCCAGTGCACTTCGTATCATGGCTTTGAGGTCATAGGTCCTCAGGAGGTATCCTGTGAGTGAATGACTGAACAGTGATTGTGTCTACTGGCCATTAACTTTCTTTGAAGTTTGACGTGATGTTGTCCCTGCGCTCTGTTCTTGTGTACACGGTTAGTTTATCAGTGAGACCTAGTCATCCACTCATCACTTAAAAGTTAAAGGTTGGAACATTGCTCAAGACAAAGGCTCTAGGTTTGTTATAGGAGAACAACCCAGTTGCTCCTTTTACCACCCCTTTCCTTGCAGGATGAGCAGCAGCAAGAGATGGCCGCTTCTGCCGCCTTCATAGACCAGCATTACGGGCACCTGGTAGACGCCGTGCTGGTGAAGGAGGATCTCCAGGGTGCCTACAGCCAGCTCAAAGTGGTCTTAGAGAAGCTGAGCAAGGACACTCACTGGGTACCTGTTAGTTGGGTCAGGTGACTTTATCCCAGAACATCCAAGCTGGATGGGACCTTGAAGATCAACTAGTCCAGACTCCCTCATTTTATCATCAAGGAATCTTGAGCGCAGAGAGGGGGAGAATTCTCCACAAACTGCATCGTCGAGAAGAGTTTAAGTGGGAAGTCTTGTTTGTTGTTGGTTTTTGTCTGTTTTTTTTTCACTGCACTGCTTTGGATCATGATTTGAAAGGGGCATATCAGAAAACAACACATTTCATTCATTAAAGTATCACAGGCAAGCTGACCCTGATTCTTTGTACCAAAGTTAAATAGCCACTGTCTTTTGCAGGTGATAGTGGTTAATTTATACAGTACTGATTTGCAGAATTAATTTAAGTATTTTAAACATAGTGACGCTTAGTAGTTTTTTTGGAAGCTAACTTGTTTTATCCAAGGGGATTTTACATGTAACTGAAATTCCCCTGTCTTCAAGCACTAAAATGTTGATCTTAACCTTTTTTTGAAGTGCTTGCCTGGTAATAGAAAATTGGGTCTCTGCCTGTTTTAAAATAGTGAATATACGTAAATTGTCTCTGGAAGGCTGAGGCACACTTCACCATCAACATCAATTACTGTACTATTCTGTACTGCAGTGGTGCCTTCAGGGACTCGAGGAATGTAAGGTTGCCTTTCCCGTTTCTAAATACCCTCGGATTCCTAACATCGAGCCCTTGCTTTGTTTGATTTGTTCTATTCCATCCATTGTTCCTTTTGTTACTGACAGTTGCCTTGGTCCTAGCCAGTCCCTGCCATGAGATCATAGGGGTTCCTGTTGTGCTAGATCTTGGGAAACCAAATGACTCTCCCTGTCAAAACTATGGCTATGCCGCTGTAAACCATTTCTGTCAAGAATAAAAGTATGTAGACCCAGAGTGTGGGCCTAATGGGTTGTCTCTGAGCAAAAATGATTATCACCCAGGATTCATGATATATCTTAGCCGCTCAGAGAATTTTTTTATTATTATTAATAGCCAACAACAGTCTTTATTCTGTGCTAGATGCTATGCTAAGGCCTTTACATACATTACCCTGATAAATACACCAAGCCAATAAAGTAGGATTCTTATCTCATTGTACAAATGAGAAAAAAATAAATAAATAAAGCTTGGACAGTTTAAATAATGTGCCCAAGTTTGCACAGATTAAAAAAAAAAAAAAATTGCAGGCCAGGCAGTGTAGTGCATGCCTGTAATCCTAGCACTTCGGGAGGCCGAGGTGGGCGGATTGCTTGAGCTCAGGAGTTCGAGACCAGTCTGGGCAATGTGTGGAAACCCCATTTCTACAAAAAATACAAAAAATAGCCGGGTGTGGTGATGTGTGCCTGCAGTCCCATCTACTCAGGAGGCTGAGGTGGGATGAACGAGGAGGTCAAGGCTGCAGTGAGCCATGATTGCGCCACTGCACTCCAGCCTAGGTGACAGAGTGAGACCCTACCTCAAAAAAAATTTAAAAATAAAAAATAAAAAAATGCAGAGCTATGGTATTCGAGCCTAAATCTCCCAAATACCAGAGATGATTGTTAACCAGTATACTATACTGCCTCATTCTTTTGTGGACCCATAATCGAGGCTACTAATATAATTCACTTATAAGTGATGAATGTGTTCACAGCTAGAATTTATAATATGAAGTGTGACCATAACTTCTAAGACTGAAAAGGCTACATACACACGTGTACATTTTCAAGTTCGTTTACTCATGAAAGGAAAAGGAGGCCAGGTTGAAGGTGAAACACCAGGGAGAAGGTTTGCCACCCATTTAGAAATTTCCATTTTACCTTCTACACAAGGATACCTTTTCAACTCTCTAGCTCATGAACCTGGTAGGTCCACGTAACAGGATTACATTCTTCAGAACTTTCTAGCAAAAAAATGGAGACTTCTTTGCACTTAGAGAGTATTGGATTCTTATCAAGTGAAATTGGTCTTGAGCTGATCCACAGAGAGCTAGGCCAGGGAGGGCAGCTGTCCCTGAAGTGTGACTAGCACATGCAGAGTTGTTATGTGGGATAATGCCTGTAATCCTAGCACTTTGGGAGGCGGGGGTGGGTGTATCACTTGAGGTCAGGTGACCAAGATCAGTCTGGCCAAAATGGTGAAACCCTGTCTCTACTAAAAAAAAAAAAAAAAAAAAAAAAATTGCTGGGCATGGTGGCAGGTGCCTGTAATCCCAGCTACTTGGGAGGCTGAGGCAGGAGAATAACTTAAACCTGGGAGGCAGAGGTTGCAGTGAGCTGAGATCATGCCACTGAACTCCAGCCTGGGTGACAAGTGAGACTGTGTCTCAAAAAAAAAGTTGTTATGCAGGAGAGCTGAGATCTGAAGTCTGCTCACAGGCAAAAACAAAACAAACCCACATACGTTAACAATGACTTTTGAAGATCCCTTTGGGAGGCACTATGGTAGAGATCCTAATCAAGTCTCAAAGTCCCATGTAGGCGATTTTCCCTCCAGTGTGAGAACACAGTGGTTGGGCACCTGATGACATTCTTTCTGCATTTTATACCACTCCAGAGGCGTTTTCTGCTGCTTACATAATGTTTTTATACAATTGTCAGATGAAATGATAGTAATTCTCTTTATATGTATTATGAAGCAGAGTATTAAAAAGTGATCCTTAGCCAAGTGTGGTGACTCACGCCTGTAGTCCCAGCACTTTGGGAGGCTGAGGCAGGAGGATCACTTGGGCTCAGGAGTTCAAGACCAGCCTGGGCAACATAGCAAGACCTTGTCCCTATTAAACATAAAATTAGGGCCAGCAGCGTTGGCTCATGTTGGCTCACGCCTGTAATCCCAGCACTTTGGGAGGCTAAAGCAGGTGGATCACTTGAGGCCAGGAGTTTGAGACCAGTCTGGCCAATATGGTGAAACCCTGTTTCTACTAAAAATACAAACATTAGCCAGGCATAGTGGCACGTGCCTATAATCCCAGCTACTTAAGAGGCTGAGGCACAAGAAACGCTTGAACCTCAGAGACAGAGGTTGCAGTGATCATGCCATTGCACTCCAACCTGGGCAACAGAGCAAGACTGTGTCTTAAATAAATAAATAAATATAAATAAAAATAAAATTTAAAAATTAGCTCAGAGGGGAGGTTCCAAGATGGCTGAATAGGAACAGCTCCAGTCTGCAGCTCCCGGTATGAGCAACACAGAAGATGGGTGATTTCTACATTTCCAGCTGAGGTACTGGCTTCATCTCACTGGGGCTTGTCAGACAGTGGGTGCAGCCCATGGAGCAGGGCAGGGCATCACCTCACCCGGGAAGCACAAGGGGTCAGGGAATTCCCTTTCCTAGCAAAGGGAAGCCGTGACAGATGGTACCTGGAAAATCAGACACTCCCACCCTAATACTGTGCTTTTCCAAGGCCTTAGCAAATGGCACACCAGAAGATTATATCCCATGCCTGGCTTGGAGGGTCCAACACCCATGGAGCCTCACTCACTGCTAGCACAGCAGTCTGAGATTGAACTGCAAGGTGGCAGCGAAGCTGGGAGAGGGGCATCCACCATTGCTGAGGCTTGAGTAGGTAAACAAAGTGGCCTGGAAGCTCGAACCCGGTGGAGCCCACCGCAGCTCAAGGAGGCCTGCCTGCATCTGTAGACTCTACCTCTGGGGGCAGAGCATAGCTGAACAAAAGGCAGCAGAAACTTCTGCAGACTTAAACGTCCCTGTCTGACAGCTTTGAAGAGAGTAGTGCTTTTCCCAGCACAGAGTTTGAGATCTGAGAACGGACAGACTGCCTCCTCAAGTGGGTCCCTGACCCCCAAGTAGCCTAACTGGACGACACCTCCCAGTAGGGGCCGACTGACACCTCTCAGCCGGGTGCCCCTCTGAGAGAAGCTTCCAGAAGAAGGACCAGACAGCAACATTTGCTGTTCTGCAATATTTGCTGTTCTGCAGCCTCTGCTGGTGATATCCAGGCAAATAACGTCTGGAATGGACCTCCAGCAAACTCCAACAGACCTGCAGCTGACGGTCCTGACTGTTAGAAGGAAAACTAACAAACAGAAAGGACACCCACACCAAAACTACATCTGTACGTCACCATCATCAAAGATCAAAGGTAGATAAAACCACAAAGATGGGGAGAAACCAGAGCAGAAAAGCTGAAAATTCTAAAAATCAGAGCACCTCTTCTCCTCCAAAGGAACACAGTTCCTCGCCAGCAACGGAACAAAGCTGGATGGAGAATGACTTTGACGAGTTGAGAAAAGAAGGCTTCAGACGATCAGTAATAACAAACCTCTCTGAGCTAAAGGAGGATGTTCGAACCCATCGGAAAGAAGCTAAAAACCTTGAAAAAAGATTAGATGAATGGCTAACTAGAATAAACGGTGTAGAGAAGTCCTTAAATGAACTGATGGAGCTGAAAACCATGGCACAAGAACTACGTGAGCACAAGCTTCAGTAGCCGATTTGATCAAGTGGAAGAAAGGGTATCAGTGATTGAAGATCAAATGAATGAAATGAAGTGAGAAGTTTAGAGAAAAAAGAGTGAAAAGAAATGAACAAAGCCTCTAAGAAATATGGGACTATGTGAAAAGACCAAATCTACGTCTGATTGGTGTACCTGAAAGTGACGGGGAGAATGGAACCAAGTTGGAAAACACTCTTCAGGATATTATCCAGGAGAACTTCCCCAACCTAGCCAGGCAGGCCAATGTTCAAATTCAGGAAATACAGAGAACGCCACAAAGGTACTCCTCAAGAAGAGCAACTCCAAGACACATAATTGTCAAATTCACCGAAGTTGAAATGAAGGAAAAAATGTTAAGGGCAGCCAGAGAGAAAGGCCAGGTTACCCACAAAGGGAAGCCCATCAGACTAACAGCAGATCTCTCGGTAGAAACTCTACAAGCCAGAAGAGAGTGGGGGCCAATATTCAACATTCTTAAAAAAAATAATTTTTAAACCAGAATTTCATATCCAGCCAAACTAAGCTTCATAAATGAAGGAGAAATAAAATCCTTTACAGACAAACAAATGCTGAGAGATTTTGTCACCACCAGGCCTGCCTTACAAGAGCTCCGGAAGGAAGCACTAAACATGGAAAGGAACAACTGGTACCAGCCACTGCAAAAACATGCCAAATTGTAAAGACCATCAATGCTAGGAAGAAACTGCATCAACTAACGAGCAAAATAACCAGCTAACATCATAATGACAGGATCAAATTCACACATAACAATATTAACCTTAAATGTAAATGGGCTAAATGCTCCAATTAAAAGACACAGACTGGCAAATTGAATAAAGAGTCAAGACCCATCAGTGTGCTGTATTCAGGAGACCCATCTCACGTGCAGAGACACACATAGGCTCAAAATAAAGGGATGGAGGAAGATCTACCAAGCAAATGGAAAACAAAAAGATGCAGGGGTTGCAATTCTCATCTCTGATAAAACAGACTTTAAACAATAAAGATCAAAAGAGACAAAGAAGGCCATTACATAGTGGTAAAGGGATCAATTCAACAAGAAGACCTAACTGTCCTAAATATATATGCACCCAATACAGGAGCACCCAGATTCATAAAGCAAGTCCTTAGAGACTTACCAAGAGACTTAGACTCCCACACAATAATAATGGGAGACTTGAACACCCCACTGTCAACATTAGACAGATCAACAAGACAAAAAGTTAACAAGTATATCCGGGAATTGAACTCAGCTCTACACCAAGCAGACCTAATAGACATCTACAGAACTCTCCACCCCAAATCAACAGAATATACATTCTTGGCCGGGCGTGGTGGCTCAAGCCTGTAATCCCAGCACTTTGGGAGGCCGAGACGGGCAGATCACGAGGTCAGAAGATCGAGACCATCCTGGCTAACATGGTGAAACCCCGTCTCTACTAAAACTACAAAAAAACTAGCCAGG